GTTGTGGTGGGAGTTCTGGCCACTAAGGTTTCAAGCATTACTGAAAAGTTCAGGAAGCCTGTGAATGGCAGACTCTTCTGGATGGTACTATTTGACAGACAGAGATGGGTGGTTATGTATAGTACATGAAGTTAAAGCCAAGTTTCCTGGCAATTTTATGAAGATAGAATTTCAATCTCACCTACAAATGTTTTATTTCTTAAATACAGATACCAGTATCCCATCTTAGACCTTCTGGATCTGAATGTTTGGAAATGGAGCCCAGGTATGTATATGTTTGCATGTTTATATATACACACGCGATGACTCTGGTGTGTGATCTTGGTTAAGAATCAACAATGTAAAAGAAGCCTTAGATTTCCTGTATGCCTTTGTGATGTAAAATTATTTCGGTATTCCCTAGATCTTCATCCTTTTTAGCCAGGCACCACTGAGAAGGCTTAGATAAAGAAGGCTTTGCTCCTGTGCTCAGGAAACTTACAGTGAATTGGAGAAGCACTGCTCTGTAAATGAGGTAAAAGCTGAGGTCCACTGCGTGTTTCAGGGTAGAGTGTAACACAGAGCTCAGCCAAAACTGTTGCTTCAAAATGTATTAGTGAATCTGGATGTAGGCAATCTAAGACTGTTGTCTCTGCTCTACGATGCTGGTAGGACCCAGGCTTTCTAGCCTCAACAACATCCTTAGTGAGTTAGCTTTTGCCCTCATGCTTAATGCCTCATGTCCTCACTATGTCTGCTCCACTTCCATGATCTCACATCTCTAGATACCACATCCATGATTATCTCATTAGCCAGACTGTGTCACATGGCCAAACCTACCTTCAAAAAAATCTGGGAGGCTGGACATTTTTCCTAGGCATACACTCACCCCAAACAAAATCAGGTTCAGTCTTGATATATCGTCTACTTTATAAACTGTTACAAGATTTCCATTCAGTTGGATTTCAAGTGTTTCTGAATGATGGTTGTTCTACAGTTTCATTGTTATTTTGATGTGATTGGGGGGGGGGTTCGAGTATCACATTTACCTAATCAAGATTAGGTAAATCTTGACCATCTTGGCTGGAAGCCATCCCAATTTATATTACATATTAAGGTCATAGTTTTTTGTTTGGCTTTGTATTTCCATTTCAACCCTTCCTGTCTGCCTCCACCACTCCCATCCTCAAATGAGGATTTGTCCCTTTTTAACATTCAGTATTTCTTGTTTTTATGGGAATGGAAACTTTTTTTAAAAGCAACAAGTCCCCAGCCCTGGCTGGTGTAGCGCAGTGGATTGAGCGCGAGCTGGGAACCAAAGTGTCCCAGGTTCGATTCCCAGCCAGGGTACATTCCTGGGTTGCAGGCCATAACCCCCAGCAACCTCACATTGATGACTCTCTCTCTCTCTCTCTCTCTCCCCCCCCTTCCCTCCCTAAAAATAAATAAATAAAATCTTTAAAAAAAAAAAAAGAAAAGCAACAAGTCCCTCTAACATAACCACACTGTCAATCAGTAGTCTAAAAATGGGCCCCCCTCCCAAAATGTCTAGCTCCCTGGCTGATTCTGAATATTCAAGCCCACAATCACACACAGCTTAAATGCCTGGGATAGAAGGCCTAGGCCCCTACCTATCTCAGGAAAAACAGTACCAAAGTCAAAGAAGGTGAGAACTAGTCCTCCCAATTTTCAAATATGGAGAGAGAAATCATTCTCTTCTACAAATAAAAGTTCCACTACAGTCATCTAGATGTATATAGTTAGTGGACAATATTCAAACTTAGAAGACAGACTCTGCTGGAAAGGGCTTTTACTTTATACTAAACTGGCAATTGCACAACTGTCTAAGACCCAGAGTCGTATGTTGTTCATGGTTAAACAGGATGTGCTTAATTGGCACTTCACAGAAAGGAGGTCAGAGAAGTGGGCCCAATGCTACTATATTGAATTGCCCAGTCACCTGTCAAGACTGTGGATTAATGCTCAAGTACAGAACAATCACCAAGAAGACCATTACAATGAGAAGGAAGCTGAGCATATGAGAGACAACATTTAACCTTTAGCCCATTCCTTTCTTAGCATTTGAAATGGAGTTAAAAGCAGAGTCAAGAGGTTTGCAATGGCTTTTGCAAGTTTCACAGATGAACTCTGATAGCAACATTGATACTTCTTCCAAAGCAGATTGAGACCTAGAAGACCTAGAGCTGTGGCCACAGTGTGGCTGGCTTAACCATAGCAGGTTCAACAGGCAGAAACTTAGATTTATATAAATATAAGGTAATAATGTAATTTTCCCAATTCCCTCCTCTCTGACACATTTTATTCTTAACAGGATAGGCAAAGGAGAATTCATAAAAGTCTTTACTTACTACTGAAAGACTAATCTAACTTCCACCCCTCACATCTATGCTTGTGATCTCATGTGTTGGGGCAAATTATACAAAAGCATCACTTTGAAATATTTCAAGTGCTGTCTCATCCTAAAGCCAACTTATAAAAATGTGGTTGTCTGGTATGCACATTCTGGTGAGTAATGATGCTGGCACCACCAACACTCAACAATATTGGGAGGAGACAGAAGAACCAGGTTGACTGGCTTCCAAAATGCCACCGTGGTATTTTTTAACAGCAGGTTTTTCCTCTATATTCCACAAAATATATAAAAGGAAAAAGCCATATATACACACTCATGCAAACCAAGTCAGTGAAGTACAATAAGACTCCATGTGAGTAGTAGGTTAACTTCCATGTGGACTGTATATACTGCAAAGAAACAAAATACAACCTTTACTTAAGTTCCAACTAATCAGTTACAATGGCATGGCATCACCTTATATATTCATAATTTCTAAAATGTTTTCACAAACATGGTACAGAGGAGGTATACAAACATTTACTGAATTAAACTCTCTAGCATAACATATTTGATCTTCAGGATACCCAAATCAGCTAGTGCAGAAAGAACAAGAATGTCCCAGTTTGAAGAACAAAGGAAACTAAAGAACAGAGCAAATAAATGGTGTACTCAGTTTATTTTTTTAATTAAATGGCAGAAATATGGATGTGATTTTAGTTTTTCTAGTCCCTAAGTGAGTACTTTACCCACCAAATGCCTCTATGCATCACAATCCATGAAAAAACAAAGAACAGTGTGGACAGTTGTAAAGCCTGGTGGCCAAAGAACACCAAACATCAGGAAGGGAAGGACCTGAGGACCAAAAGCATCCCAGCTCAGGGCAAAATCATCCACAATTAAAAGACTAAAATGAAGTTCTGACCTGGTATATCTTAGGAATATCTTAAGAGCTGGCTCAAATCCAAAAGAAACAACTAAAAATTAACCAGGGAATAAGGAATCACCTAAAAAGATGAGGAATTTTCAGTGTGTGGGTGTGACAAAACAGGATAGGAGAAAGCAAGCCTTCCTGTCTAAATGCTGGCAACCCAAAATGAGGGCAATACCTTTGGAGTTAGGAGTCTTAAACCAAATATACACATATGAATTGTGTACTTCATTGTGTATAAACTTTACCTTTAACAAAAACTTGAGAACCAGTAACAAAGAAAGGAATAAAAAAATTTTAAAATACAATGGCATCTCAATAAAGAGGAAAAAAGAAAATGAGAGATGCAGTGGATACAGGAGTGAAGTGAGAGATGGTTGGTTCAAAGTTCATTATCATAATTTTCCAATGTTGGTGTGGTCTCTTGCAGATGACTCTGGGTTCTGCTGGCCTGATCAGGCTCATGGGAAGCTTAAATTCCTGAGGCTTTTCTTGAAGGTGAACAAGGGCAGGGGCCTCTGTTTTTTATCTCTGTATCCACAGCACCTCACATGGTCACCTCTCTACAGCTGAGAATTGGGTTTAAGTTCTAGCTCTGTTACTATCTGACGGTGGGACTTGGCAACAGCATTACTTCTGAGTCTCCTTTTCTTTGGCTCCCAAAACAGAGATACCAGCCTATCCTGCCTGTTTGATGAGATCATAAGAGCCAAACAAAAATACATATCAAAGCATCTTTAAAAATAAGATTCTTATGTTTGCTGTATTTTATTTAAACAAGAATATAAACCAAAAACTTCAACCCGTGAATGAGCTAGGAGGAAGCTAATGCAAACATAGCTAGATTAACCTCAAATGTTTAAAATGATTCAGGGCAGAATTGTTAAGATTCAAGATTCACAATTAAAAACTGAGGTATAAAAGAAAAACATCCCAAAAGTAAACTTTACTGGAAGAGAGCTCAGAACTCTTCACTGCTTAGGAATTCAAGACTTTCCTCCCAAACTGGATACACCAAAGATTAAGTGTTGGACCAGCAAAGTTCTATTTATAACAACATAAAGTTCACAGACAACTACATGCAGAGAAATAACATGAACTTAGTAAAAGCCATTTCTGAGGGAAAAAGATAGTAAATGGGACAAAGATTTAATGAGGAGCCAGGAAGTCTGGGTTCTAGTACAGTCTCAGCTTCACTGTCCTAAAGGAAATCACTTGGCCTCTCTGGACCTCTGTTTTATCATCTTTGGTAAGAAAGAGGTGACAATAGAACTCTATGACTTGAAAATTCGAAGACAGTGAAAGACCATTTTGTACTCCATTATTATGTGACTTAATCTCATACTTGTATACTTTTTTGTTCATGCTACATGATCTATCATTCTTTTCCCTATTCTCTAGTCCATGAACTCTCACTTGAACTTCAAAGCCACTTCAAACATGAAGTCTTCCCACACCTGTATACAACACTCATAGCTCTTTTCCACCAGGCTTCCAAAACTACCACCAAATCTTACTATAGTTAGTTTTTAGGCCCAGTGAGTTGTGATGTCAAATCTCGTGTTCCTTCCTTCCCCTGAATAGCAGGAAACATGTTCTACTGAGGTTAGAAGAATGATGAATACATGCTAGGTGCTGCATAAAATGTATGTTTGATTGAAAATATGAGTGCTTAGGAACCCCATTTCATGTAAAGTTTGATAAAGCCACCATTTGCATATTTTAGAAAAGGCCTACCTGGTCTGCACAGGTCTCCATGTTGCTCTTTTTCACTGGCGTAGACCTCCATGCACCAAGCATGGTATGCAAACGAGAAGAGATCTTCTATTTTAGCAGGTGGTCGGATTGCATTGTTCAGTCTCTTAAGCCACTCTTGACACTGCTCAAAAGTTGAAAACTGACACCTTTGTAAAGCCAAACAAGTACGGATGCAATCAGAAGACATAACAATGAAACCTAACAGAAACCCCATTTCAAGAGTGCCTACTCATGGAGAAGTGGTAACTACAGTCAAGAAAGCATTAGAGGTGGTCATTCACATGTTTATCACTTATAATAAAAACAGGCCAACAAATTTTAGGCAATGGTATGAAATGTCAAAAAGAGGAAACCTGGACATGTGGAAAACTTACTTTGTTAGACTCTCTTCTGAGACTGATTAATGTCAATCATTAAAGTAAAATGGCACTCATTTTCCTCCGTGAGTGCAATTTCCTTCTACTTTTTCCATCTAAGTTTTACAGTTGACCCTCTTGAGAAATATGTTTACAGAAGTTCTTTCCACTTTGTTATGATATATTAGGCTGAGTTCAAATCACAGCAATACTTTTTGTCACTTGGAATAATTTCAAAATTTGTCTATTCAGCACTTAGAATAAACCATCAACTTTAGATGCAAAATCTTACAGTATTCATGTGACCATGTAGGGAACAAAATAATTCTATTATTGATTGCAATTTTCAGAACATATAACTAAGAGGTTAAACTAATTACTGTAAAATTATTTACCTTTTCAAAGGCAGTGTTTAAAATTGAGTAATTAATAAGCAAGCTTTTTAAACTGTGAGCTACAGCCAGTATCTATGAAAAGCAAGCCAAATATCAATGGTTAAAAAGCAACTTTAAATATTTACCTTAACCAAGGAGGTCACTTAAACCTCTCCCTTGCCCCAATCAATGTGGCTCATCAATGTGCCAACATACAAGTTTACTGGCACACCAGTATAGGTTAAAGAGATAAAGTAAAAACTTAGGAAATTTAAAATTTGCAGAGCTATTAAATTTAAAAAAGGCATTTCAGGCATCATTTTGCAACCATTAAAGACTAGATCAAATAAAAAACATTAGTGGATACTAAATGTCTCCATACTAATCTATGGAGACATTTGATGAGAACCAGGAATCTACATAGTCTAAAAGTACCTCCCATCGACTATTTATTAGTTGCAAGGGAGAAAATTTTGAAATTATACAGAAATCAGCTGACACCTTGATAGAGTGATCAAAGTTAACATCACCAATAAGGTACAGTGGACACTGTTTGCCTCCAGATGTAATACAACACCCTGAAAAGGACACAACCTCATACGTATAGTGTAACAGCTGAGAATGTACAGCCTAAATTTAACCATGAGGAAACACGGACAGACAAAATAAGAAACAGTCTATTAAAATAAAAGATAGTATCCTTCAAAATGTCATAAAGACAAAAGTGGTGAAAAATGTTCCACACTAAAGGAGGCAGTAGAATCATGCCAACTAAATGTAGTGTCTGACCTTGTCTGGATCCTGTTGTGATCCAGGAGGCGGAATGCTACAAAGGGCATTATTACATCAAATGACAAGTTTGGAACAAGAATAGTAGATTGGATAAAAGTACCATAATTATAAAATAGTGAAGTTGATTATAATACTGTGATTATGTAAGAAAATATTCCTATTCTTATGAAAGCACACTGAAGTAGTTCAAGATAATGAGCCATGATTATATTAACTTACTTTCAAATAGGTAGGTAAAAGAATCTCTCTCTCGCACACGCACACACACAGCCCCCGCAAGCAACAGTGCAAAGGAGGTGAAATGTTAACAATACAGGTATTCTTTGTACTATTTTTTATAAATTTGAAAATATTTCCAAATAAAAAATTTAAAAATATCTTTCAAATAACAAAGTAACCTAAAATATTTCAGGCACTAACTACTCAGAAAAATAGTCCTAACAAGGCTGATCCTCAAAAGCTGTTTTCTGTTACCAAACTATGGATCCATTCTTTAAAAAAAGATTTTCCACACTCAACAGTATAAACACACAACATACCTGATAACTTTGCAGTCTTTACAAGTCAAATGAAGCTGAAATATATCTCGGCATTCAACACTTTCTATGAGCTGTAATGGAACCTGCAATTAAAGGAGATAAAGTCCCCTCAGTCCAAAAGGCATTGACCCCGCAGTTCTTCAATGTCCAATAAGAGCGATTAGGAAGTTCCACAGGGGAAAGGAGCAAACAACTGCAAACTTATCTGGATCAATAGTACTTAAGTGATCAGGGTTTCTTCCCTTTATCTCTAAATCAAAGACCCAAGTCATGAAGAGGCGGCACTTCTGGAAGAACAGGGAAATATGTCATCTCTCAGGTATCAAACTCACAAGCTCCATCACTCAAAGTACTGCACTACTTGAAATACTATAGTCAGTTGTGATATGTAATGACATGAAAGCTGAAGGGAACTACAATGGTGATACTGTCTTGTTTACAGGAAAGAACTGCAGATCAAAGTGCTAGTGGGACTATATTTGTCATTTGCCCCGAATGACAAAGTGAGCCTATGGTTTTGTCAGCAAAAGAGCATTCTGAAAAAGACCAGAAGTCTAAACTGCATGTAAATTGCACAAAAAAGACAACAGGACAGTAGCTGCTGGCCAGCTAGAGACTCTGCTCAGTAGAACAGAGCCACAGGTATTGAGGAGGAAGGAGCAGTCCACACAGCGGGCAAAGGTCCTAAAACTAGCTAGGTCTAATTTGTTTTAAAAGACCAAATCTGAGGAGCCCTTTTGCCAAGTAGAACTTGAGATATGAGCAAACTAGAATGATTTTCTCCCTGTCAATCACATCAGCAGACTATACTAAATGAACTCAAGAGTATAAATACAACAGTAAAGAGGATCAAAGTACAGAGAAGATAGATAGAAAGGGAAAGCATCTGATCAGGGTGACAAATCTTCAAATTGACATGAGACTCTTCTCCTTTGCTCTCCACTCATCTGGACTCAACCCCTGCTTTCAAAAAGCAATTTGCAAAACTTCTAAGGAAAGTATGATTAAAAAAAATACTGGATACTCTTGCTCCTTGGGAAAAGTTAGACCACTGCCTCTTACATTGTATCATGCTAGCCAAAATGCAAGCCAAAATGACTATGCAAGTTATGAGTAGCATTCAAACAGAGCACTCAAACAATTCATTTAGCATGAGAAGAGGGAGGCAGTTTTTTCCAACACAGACAGAACCAAGAGAGAGCTGCCTGCAGAGGGTGGCCTTCATGTTAGCTAAGCCGTTTCAGAAACCCTGTCCCACCATGCAGTTGCCAAAGTTAGCAGAGAACTCTCGGAACAAGTATGTAGGGATCAAAAATAAGCCCAGTGCTGGATAAAGAAACAGAAACTGGGGCAGGGATTTAAAAGAGAGAAGAAAGCAAAATAACAACATTCAGATACTAGCTAGGAGTTTCTACCTCAGGACCAGAGCCTTCTTGCTTAGTTGTAAGTCTACAAAATTCCCTTATACTTGTAATAGGACTGAAAGCAAGAGAAAGACTAAGAAATCTTGCCTGTGTTCTAAGGGGGAAAAAAAAAGGAGCACTGGCCCTTTGTTTTTAAGTCCTTAACCCTATTGTGCTATGAGAAACTGGCTGATTCAGCTAAAAATGCTTTCAAGATCTGTATATCAAGGAAGGAAAACACCACCACCACTATTTCAGTAAAGGAGGAATAGGAGATTAAAAAGAACACTAATTCACTCTTAGAACAGTCCTTGGGGTGCTCTCTGTAAGACTCGCATATTGTTTTTCTTTTTTTTATGTACCTACCGCTCCCTTCATCAGCCAGCCCCCTCAGCCCTGGGAGGGGAAGTGACAGCAAGACTGACAATTAAGAGGCCTGAGTTCTAATCTCAATTTTCTAAAATTTTATCAGCTGAAATTTTGTCTGCTTCCAGACTTCCTTAGACAAGCTTTCCCCCTTCCCATATGCCACCAGCCTCTGCTTTCTAAACCTCAGGTAGTCAGAATTCAGGAATTCCCAGGTATAGAGAATGGGAAGAGCCTGGGGTGCAGTGAGAGTGAGCTTTACAAATCCACATGGAGAGGCTGCTATCTTAGCAGCCACCTTCATCCCAGTTTCCCCTCGATGACTTGAAAACCAACTAATGCTATTAGCAGCTGCTGGAGAGAGTTGACACCAGCCTGTGCTACTCAGCTACAAAGAACAGGTAAGTTTTATATCCCTCCTACTGGACCAGAGACTAAGGACCTATACCCAGACTTCCAGAATAATGTACTACCTAAAATGCACATGACATACAAATTTTCATGTATTTTAACATCACAAATTTAGGGAAAAAGGATAAAAATGTTGGTTGCTGATATGCAAATACTAGAAACCACCAGAGTACATCATGTGTACTAAAGTCACAGATACAGAAAACAGCAGATTTTAATACTCATGCAGATTGTTACATGCACTAAAGTTTAATATGCAGCAAGAACAGCAACATGTAAAAGGAAAATACCTGATTTTATATCAAATGAACATCATCTTTTCTTCTCCTTCTTACCTCAATGTCCCCATCTTCACTGTTCCTTCCACAGAATGCCTCCTATTCTAAAAAGGCACAACTGGCCTTCTTTTCCTCTTCATTTCTCCAACCAAAACATACTAACTTTCTCTACATTTTTAAGGCCTACTCCCTTGGTTTAGGTTTCTCACCTTTCCTCACAGATGAAGAGGATCTCTTACCATTTCTGTAACTAAATATACCCAATAGCCAATCTCATAAGCAAACATTACAGATTCAAGAGCAACACCACTTTACAGCCCAGGAAGTAAGCTAGTAATAGACTCAGGACAACAGTCCATGTCTGCCCTCTACTCCAGGCTCCTTCCATTATATATATGGTGCATCTTTCTTCCTCTTGATCACCTTTCTCTTCTGTATGAGCACTGCATTAGGTCTTCTATCACAATAAGGCCTCTCCACCAGGGATCTTGAAGAGGAAAACAATTTATTTTGTCAAAGATTTTATTTGTTTATTTTTAAACAGAGAGGAAGGGAGGGAGAGAGAGAAGGAGAGAAATATCAGTGTGTGGTTGCCTCTTGTCTGCTCCCTACTGGGGACCTGGCCTGCAACCCAGGCATGTGCCCTGACTGGGAATCGAACCAGTGATCCTTTGGTTCACAGACCGGCACTCAATCCATTGAACCACACCAGCTAGGACAGGAAAACAAAATTTAAACCAAAATTCCTTAGAGGCAATTCTATCCATGGAAGAGTAATAAGAAATCTAAAGTCACACTCAAATCCTCTCTAGCCCACTAATTCAAATGTTTTATATCAACTAATTTTCTTTTTGCAATTTTTTCCTCTACCTTGTTTCTGCCAGGAAATTGTATCTCCCTTTACAGTGCTCTTCCTCTTATAAATTCCATCAAACTCCCACTCAAAACAACGCATCAAAAACACACAGTGCTGTTAATCAATTTCGCAAAAGGCCAGAATTACATCATGAACACCAAAATTCGTAAGAGCATCAATCCAAAAAAGCAGAAGAGCAGCAGTTAAAGACTTAGTAGACATGCGCAGGTATTAGAGACCCACAGTTTGTCTCATTTGGGGGCATGAGGAGGGGTGTGCTCACACATGCACATGTGTATTGTTTGTAAGCACCAAAATTTAAAAGTGGGATAATTTCTACCTTTTAAAAACATATGACACTTTTATAGCCTGAATGGGAAGCACTAATCTTTATACACATTTGAAGTATAAATGATAGTAACTAAGTGAAAATAAATCAAGTGATAATTCTAAATCTAAAATGTGTAATAAACTGTGGAATATTTGGGCACTACATCTTATCATTCAAGAACCAGTCCTAAAAAGAGGACTGTCACAAGTTAAAGGCACAAATTTTTATTGTTCTCCTTTGGTATTTATAAGCTACTTTTCCAACACAGGTTTCATATGTTTCTACTGGTATACGAATACTAAGGTGAAAGTGCATTAAGTGTTAATGACAACCTCTTGCTGATATTTGGGGGATAAAGATTTTTTGCTGTACTATAATTAAGACAACAGAAAATGTGAAAAATGCTAAGATAGGTGTTTCCAGTTGCTACACATCCACCTTTTCTCTCAGGAGCATTACAGGATAGCCCTAAAAAATAGAAGTTTTGGGGTTTTCTTTCAAGATTTTATTTATTTCTTTTTAGACAAAGGGAAGGGAGGAAAAAGAAAGGGGGAGAAACATCAGTGTGTGGTTGCCTCTTGTCTGCTCCCTACTGGGGACCTGGCCTGCAACCCAGGCATGTGCCCTGACTGGGAATCAAACAGGTGACCCTTTGCTTCACAGGCCTGCACTCAATCCACTGAACTACACTAGCCAGGAAAAAACAGAAGTTTTAATATTCTTTTAAATGCTCATGTTTATTTTACAAATGATTTCTAGTTGAAATTCAGTTTACATTGTTTGTAGATGACAATTCCATCTGCTTATGAATAAGCTGTGAAGCTTTATCCTCACCCCACAAATTGTTCTCATTATAGGGTACCACTAGAACTTTGTCTAATAAGAGGGAAGAGACTCATGCAGAAAGGACACATTTTGCTGACCTGCAAGGTGAGCAACTGGCATTCAAAACCAATTTGTTCCAAGCACATGTGCAAAAACTGCCTAGGTTTCCCATGCTACTTACTGTGATTTCAGAAGCAGGAGATTGAGAGACAGTCTATTGAATTACACAATAAAAAACTGTTTTAAACTTTCATGAATTCCACTTGAACACTTATTTGTTTATAAATTAGCTGAGCATCAGAGAAAGATACCTGTACATATGTAAAAGTACAGTTTGGGCAAAGCACAGAATGAGAGCAATTCACACCTTAAATGCTACCGATGAACTCTACTAAAGAGGTTCTTGACCCTAGAAAATGAAAACTTTAATCCACACACATTCATCGGATATCAAGTAATGATGTTTATGGTATCTAAGTCTATAGACTTTCACTCAATATGCTATGAAATTAAAAGAGAATGTATATGATGAATAGTAACTAGACTTGAAATGGTGTAATATATATAAATATTGAATTATAATGTACACCTGTAATATATGTATGTAATTTTGTATACCAATTTTACTACAATAAAAAAATGTTAAGAGGCTATATGATACCAGGTAGCTATTTAACACTTCATGACAAGTTATTTTCTAAAGTACTAAATTTACTGATTTAAAAGCATACAAAATGATGCAAACTGCAGCATGCCACAATATACACTAGTACATTTGAGGTTTGATAGTTAAGCTGTGTTTGATTAAGATTTAATAACCTTTAAAGGGAGTCTCTTGATCTCACGTATTTTACCGAAATACTTATCTGCTGAGGAAGGAAATGAGGGAGGGAGAGGCAACACCACCAACCCGCAGTCTCCATCCAGCACCTAGTAGAAGGAGCCATTGTTTCCTGGAGTAACCACGGGTTTTAGGAACCTTAGCACTTACAGTGATGCAATTAGTTTATTTGTATGGAGAAATCCTACTCTCCCTCCATCTGAAATGTTTAAAATCACTGCAATGCCAAAATACTTTTGCACAATCATCTTTCTGTACACAGCCATTATCTTGGGCTTTTTAAGTGATATACAGGCTCTATGCCTCAGAGGGTTATAATGCTACCTGAGAAAACAGTTTCAGGTAAGGAATTGGGTCAAAAGTATATACAGTGCTCAGTTTTCTTAAGTATATACCTCAATCACAAAGGGGGACCAACAAATCCCTACTTAAACAATCTACTTATACAACTACTCTTAGAGACAATAACACAGGCCTATCACACAGATACGTTGTTTTAAAAATGAGTTTTAAACCTAAAAAGGGGTTTTAAATGATCTAATACCCATTTCAAGCCCATATTAACTTCAATTCACATAATAAAGGGGTGGGCAAAAGTAGGTTTACAGTTGTTAGTACATGAAACTGTTTATTCTTATATTACTGTTTGTATTATTAGTAAATCTACATTTGCCCACTCTTCTATTTACTACATATCATGGTACCAGGAGATATGCTGTATTTTGAAGACACAAAGATGAGTAATGAAAAAATTATAACATATCTGGTATGTTGTAAAGGTATGTTCAAGATACAGAAGAAGCCAGAGGAGTGTAATAAACTGCCAGGGACTGAGAAAGGTCTCACAGAAGATGTTATCCCCTGACTTGGGTTTTGACAGATGAAGGGAAGTTCCCTGGGCAGGAAAAGAGAGAGAACTCAGAGTGTTCTCAGAGTCTGAGAACTCAGAGTCTGAGATATGGCTGAACAGTCTCAGGAGGGTAGTTTTATTAGCACCAACGGGAGAAGGGAAAACACAGGGAAACAGAAAAGCTGGCAGGAACCAAGGACCATTTCCCCTGACATCATACTAAGTGATTTCATCATAAAAGTGTTCAAGGCTTTTAATTTTCAAGGCTTTGTGAATGACATGCTTGAATCCATACACTCTCTCCCACAGACCCTATTCTGGAACAGATCTAAAAGTACTCCCCAAAATACTTTGCCATAAACCAATAAGCTGAGAAACACGGGACTGTATGGAAAAAAGGCAATGATATGAAATTAAGTCATCTCCACATGTAATTTAAGTCGAATTTCATTGATTCCAGCGACTTAAACATAATTTAAACACAACACTAAGTTGGGTGATTCTACTTATTACAATACTCCCCCTTTATCTGTGGGGGATATGTTCCAAGACCTCCCCCCAGTGGATGCCTGAAGCCATAGAGAGAACTGAACCCTAAATATACTATGCTTTTTTCTATACATATAGTAGTTCCCCCTACCCGCCACCCCCATTCCCCACTTGTAGGCAGTTTTACTTTCTGTGATATCAGTTACCCACAGGTCAATTGTGGTATGAAAATATTAAATGGAAAACTCTAGAAATAAAAAACTTGTAAGTTTTAAATTGCATGACATTTTGAGTATCATCACAAAATCTCACACTGTCCTGCTCCATCGCACCCAGGACACGATTTATCCCTTTGTCCACTGTATCCATTCCGTGTATGCTACCTGCCCACTAGTCACTTAGTAGCTGTCTTGATTATCGGATCGATGGTCACAGTATCGCAGTGCTTGTGTTCAAATAATCCTGATTTCACTTAATAATGGCCCCAAAGCCATTCACATAACTTTTATTACCATATATTGTTATAATTGTTATATTTTACTATTTGTTATTACTAATCTCTTACTGTGCCTAATTTATAAATTCAACTTTATCACAGGTATGCATGTATAGGAAAAACATAGTATACGGGGTATGCAAAAGTAGGTTTACAGTGTGAGTATGCAATAATTTTATGCTTGTATCATTTTTTATTCTTATATGGTTTTCCATACTCACAAACGTAAACCTACTTTTGCCCACCACTGTTTAAAGTTTGGTGCTATCCACAACTTCAGGCACCCACTGGGGGCCTTGGCATATATTCCCCATGGATAAGGGGGGACTATTTTACATATCTTTTCACTTCAAGGAAGCACTTCATGGCTTCTCTTTGGCATACCCCAACTGCCAGCATCACTACTCTTGCACTTTGGGGCTGTTGGGGACAGCACAAGATTTCGTCACACTGCTCAGAATGGTGTGCAACTAAAAACAAATTGTTTATTTCCGGAATTTTCCATTTAGAATTTGCAGACCATAGGTGACCACAGCTAACTGAAACTGCAGAAAGCAAAACTGCAAACAGTGGGGGACTACCATATTAGTGTCATTACTTTCACAGTAGCTGGTGGGGGATTTCCGGTTGCTGGGATTTTACTGGAGTTTATCTTGTCCCCTCCTATGATGACCACCCAATTCCAAATGGACCCTTCTTAACAAAGTGCTATATGGTCTGAAAGCACAGCATGCCTCTTTCCTTGATGAATCTGATGTGTATTATTAGATGATGAACAGAAAACTTATGTAAAAACTATGATCATAGCTCAAATCTAGAATCCAGAAGGAATTCAGGCCACAATGGCTGTTGGATATAAATGCTTAACTACAAAGAATAAATACTATATAAATAATAAAAGCCAGCTGTAAAGAAAATGGCATCCATTTGAGTCTTTTGACATAAATAAATAAATAAATAAATAAATAAATAAATAATGATGATGAAGGATTTGAGTAACTTTCGGACCACTGAATAAAATAAACTCAAGTGACAGATTTCAAAGAATCCCACTTGAATCTCAAAACACACAATCTGAATGAAATTATAGTCCTGAGCTTTTATAAGATGTTACAATACACTTCTCTGTGCTAGAACCAAAGTACAGAAAGGCACAATGCTAGCAAGTAAAGAAGGAAGAAGGCACTCATTTGCTGGAAGTACATGAACTTTTGTGCCTTTGTGGTGAAAGACACATTAACTAAAAACTATTAATAATAGCAGTGCACTGGAAGAACCAGTTCATTAAGAGTACCCTCATAACTAAAAAGGGTATGCACTCTTAGGAATCAAGAGGCTTCCTTTTCTTCAGTAATACATAGTCCATTAAACAAATATTGTACTTAGCTTCTATACTTATACCAGTAAGGAGCCATTAGACTAACTTCATCCTATGACAGTCTGCAACGAGCTCAAAATATTCAAAACATTTCATCATTTGACATTAATGTCCAGAAAAGTATCTCAACTGAGGCAGTAGTAACCATTAAAGATTGAAAAATAAAAGTCTATACACCTTTTGCACCCTTCCAAAGCTTAATGACACAGCATTACCTAGCATACATCAATTCAGTGTCACTAAACCCTGGACACCTCAGCTCACAACTACGTACGTGTACATTTTAAATCGAGCATTATAGCTGTTTGCTAACTTAGTGTCCTCTGGGTGCTAAAAACTGGGAGAAAAGCAGAGCACACATAGTTTTCACACCCAACCCCGTATAACGCTCCTCTTTTTGAGAACATTAGCCGATTTTATGACTTCCCTTTTCTATCTACTTTAGTTGGTAATCACTTACATTAACAAGAGACTCCTTGAACTTGATGTGAAGTCTGTAATTTGAAAGGGCAATGATGGCATCTTCAGCACGGCCCACATACTCTGTGCTTTCTCCATGAAGTTCAAGAAAAGGAACCTTTAAAATGGAAGCAGAAATCCTTCAAAGTTTTAAAGCATTAAATCAAAGTCTTCAAACATAGATCAGATTAATAGATAATAAATCCTTTGTCACTCAAACTTAAAACACAATATGTAAGTGGGTAAGGGTCTTAAAGAGACTGGGTTTGTATCCACATAATTCAAATATACCTAGTTATTCAAATTCTAGACTACTGAAGGAATGACACAGAGATGATCATCTCAAACAGTGAATTTTTAGGAAATAAGTCTTTCTAAAAGGAAACCTTTAAATAATTTCAAACCATATTTGGTTTTCCTGCCCCATTTTAACAGTGTAATCACAATGAGAGTCCAGTGACCAAAGTTAATAGGCACAAAACTAAAGGAAAAAATATTCATCCCCAAAGATATATAGTACATTACTTCAAACCATTAGCTCTGCTACATTAATACTAGGACGCTAAATACTTATTTTAGAATCAAAAGTAACCTGTAATTACCTGAAGATTCTCATCCTCTCGGATCAGCTGCTTCCTGGGAAAGATCTGATTTGCCTGGATGCACTCAAGGCTGTGCCGAGTCTCTTCATCCTGAAAAAAACCCAAAACATTTAAATAATTTCAAACCATATTTGGTTTTCCTGCCCCATTTTAATAGTGTAATCACAATGAGAGTCCAGTGACCAAAGTTAATAGGCACAAAACTAAAGGAAAAAATACTCATCCCCAATATATTCATCCAATTTATATTAGGTATCTCTAGTTAGAGAACACGGTGATTAAAAAAAAAAGAGGTTAAGAACATTTATATTAAGCACTAATAAGCTGTTAGGTCATTACTTGTACAAGAAACCAAAATACAGGGGTTTTGTTCTTTAATTTGTAACCTTAAATTTTTATTTTTGAAAGTTACATTCTGAATTAAGAGTGAAATGATGTGGTATCAGGAACTTGCTTCAAAATAAGTAGAAGGGGGAAGGCAAGGAGGAAGTGAGTAGGGCATAAATGAAACAGGATAGTCCATGAGGGATGTTTGATGAAACTGGGTAAGTGAAGGTTCACTATGCCCACCATTGTGTCTGCTTTGGTTGCATGTGTGATTTCCATAATACAAAGCTTTTAAAAAATGTAAAGCTTAAGAACTGAATTTCTCAAACTGAAAATATGTGTGAACCACTATCCCTAGTTTAGTATGTCATATATTCGGGAATAGATTTATTTCTATTAAGGCAATTTTAAAAAAGCAATAAATTCTACTCTACATGGCACCTAAGTTGAACTAATTACAACCTATATTAAAAAAGTAGTCTTTACATTATAAATCTGTATAATAGGAGAAAAAAGGAATATAATGGAAAAGTCCAAGTGTAAAATTATGATGCAATCTGTTTAACACAGTGACCTTTGTAAAGATCAAAAGCCATATGATTCTCAACTGACAGCACTAAGAATTAAAATCACTAGTGGACAGACATTTCTGCATGTTACTTATCACAATTCCAACAATTCTACCTCCTCAAAGAGAGGGAAAAATCCTATCTGTAAGTAACACTTAAGGTTTTATCAAAAAACAATCTTAATCTTAAATCCGTAATACCCTACTACTGTGGTTCTCAAAGTGAGGTCCACAGATTCTGAGACCCTTTCAGGGGCTCTATGAGGTCAAAACCACCTTCCCAATATTACTAAGACATTCTCTGTCTTTTTTCACTGTGACATTTGTCTAATAGTGCACACAGTGAAAAAAGAACTGGTGGGCAAAACTGCTGGCTCCTTAGCACAATCAAGGCAGTGACACCAATTTCACTTAGGATGTTCTTGATAAAGCAGGAGAAAAATGATAAATTTTATTAAATTTTGACCCTTAAGTCTTTTTTATACTGGAAATACACATGAAATAATTACGCTGTACACTGAAGTATTATGGTTGTTTCAAAGCCAAGCACTTGTGCAACTCTTTCAGCTACAAGCTGAATGAGCCACTTTTTTCAAGTACCATTAAAAAAAGTTTTTTAACTTTTCAATTACAGTTAACATACAATATTATATTAGTTTCAGGTGTACAACATAGTGATTAGCCATTTATATAACTTACAAAATGATCACTTTAAGTCTAACACCCATCTGACACCATACAGTATCATTTCACTGAATAGTAATTCTATTTCCATTGTTAAGAGATAGCTCTTGACTTAAAAGAACCCTGAGTATTTTATACTTAGAACCAAAGAGAAAAGATCTGAGGAATCTTAAATTTAGAAAGATTTTTCTCATAAACCAACAGGAGGTAGGTAAAAATTGCTAGAACGTATGGGGGAAAGCTTTTTAAAAATTATGACATAAAAATACATTGTAAATATGCCTCCCTCAGCATCACACTAACTTTTTAAATTCATACCCTAAACTTTTATTCTCTTCAGTATCATTTTACAGAGGTACCCAGTACTTCTTTAACTGACTCCTTGGCCTATTTTACTGACCTTTAAATATTACAGAATTGAAATCATGTTAACAGGTTTAAAAAAAAACTAGAAGCTATAATACCATTTCATTCTTGCTGGCACATTCACTTGAGTGCTAACGCAGGCCAATGTATATAATCAAAACAGTTACTGAAAATGGAATAAATGATTTTCAGCCTAAGAGAACTGAAATAAGGCCAGCGATGCAAAAATGCATCTAATCCCCAAAGATTTAATTAACATTAGGACAAACTACCTGTTGACTTTCTAGAAGAATGGTGATTCAAAAAACATTACTTAGCTAACGCAAGTTTAATTAACTACCTAATTTCTTTTTTACACTTTCTGAATTTCATAAGTAAAAAAGGAGGCCAAACTTGAGAAAAATAAGGAGTTGGAAGGAGACAAAGGGAAGGAAGAAAAAAACTAGCAAGTATTGGCATAGTAAGAGCCTTAGAAATAAATTTCTCCTGCACTATGAGCAGTATTTTACACTTCTTCACCAACAGGCCAAGAAGTGATATTTAAGTAGTACTCTAGTAGTACTAGAATGTATTCCACACGGTTGATTTCCCGGTACTGCTGAGGAACACCAGGCATTGTGGAATCTGGCATTGCCTGTCTACCAGCTCCATAAGGTCAGAGGAGTTACCTACAAAATCTTAAAAAGAGATCAGTGACCATAGTTTCAGGGTAGTTTCTGCTACTGGCTAAGCTATGCAGGTAAGAGAGGTAAACCTACTCTTCAGAAGGGAAATCAACATTAGAGATAAATATTTTAAAAACATGGGGAGCAGAGACTGCTGATAAGTCAAAATGCCTATTTACTAAACTCAAATGTAGGATTCCAGGATAAAAACAAAACAAAACCATACCTACTCCTAAGAGTGAAATAAAATGTATGTATAAACACTTAGCAAAATGTAAAAGTGAAAGTATTTATCTGTTTCATTGTCAATTCCAGTCACTAAGCTTAAGACTGGTATTGAAGAACATCAAAAATACAATTTACCTTGATATAATGCTTTAGATTTGTTTCAAAATAATCCAAAGAGGTGGGGGTAAGGGAGTAAGAAGAAACAAGTGTGGCCATAGATTACTGCAGCTGACTGATACAGTATATGACTATCCTCTCAAAATCAGGATTAAAGACATATAACCTGCCCTGGCTGGTGTGGTTCAGAGGATTGAGTACTGGCCTATAAACCAAAGGGTTGCTGGTTCAATTCCCAGTCAATGCACATGCCTGGGTTGCAGGCCAGGACCTGGTCCCCAGCAGGGGGCACACAAGAAGCAACCACATAGTTATTTCTCTCCCCCTCTCTCTTACCTTTCCCCTATATCTAACAAGAAGTAAATAAAAATAAAAATTAAAAAAAAAAGAGACATACAACCTAAATGCCAAAACAATAGAATATATTAATATTAATTAAATCAATGTTATATGGTCCATGTTACAAAATGTTACATGGACTAAAATGAACATTAGGGACCAATAAATCAACATGGGAAAATTTTAAATTCACTTAGTAATGAGCAAAATATAAACTTAAGGTTTTTTCCCCCAAAGGTTGCATGCAACTACACAAAGACCTAGATAATAGTTTGCATTTTTAATTAAGTATTTTTTTAAGATTTTATTTATTTATTTTTAGAGAGAGGGAAAAGAAGGGAGAGAGGGACAGAAAGAACAATGTATGGTTGCCTCTTGCATGACCCAGTGCCCTGCACCGGGGAACAACCCAGGCACTTGCCCTCACTGGGAATCAAACCAGCAATCGTTTGGTTTGCAGGCCAGTGTTCAATCCACTGAGCCACACCAGCCAAGGGTAAAACTTAAATATGTTTTAATTCCAATTATATAAAATATACATACGCACATTAGACTAGTTAGAAATGAAACAGCCAGCCCTGGCTGGCGTAGCTCAGTGGATTGAGCACAGGCTGCCAACCAAAGCATTGCAGGTTCGATTCCCGGTCAGGGCACATGCCTGGGTTGCAGGCCATGACCCCCAGCAACCGCACATTGATGTTTCTCTCTCTCTCTTTCTCCCTCCCTTCCCTCTCTAAAAATAAATAAATAAAATCTTTAAAAAAAAAAAAAAAAGAAATGAAACAGCCATAGGTTTTGGTAGTAGAATTATAAAAGTATTTATAAAAATGTGTTATACTGCTGCTTTATGAAAAAAAAAAATTTTTAAAGACACATGGCCATACTGCTCCCCAACTACTGCACAAAGAAGCATCTCCAGAGCCCACCATAAAGACTGTCTGCAGCGCACCAAAGGCCCCACCCAGTAGCACCAGGATGAAGCCACTTTGTTGCTAGCTATGTGGAATACGATGAAGGACAACCCCTCAGTACAGAACAGAGCTGCTTTAATAAGCTCATCGTTTGCTATTCATTAGCACCAGCATACACACCATATAAATATTAGGAAAATGCTTTTCAATTCATTAAAAACTCTGTGGGAAAACCAATAAAATAAAATATAGTCTAGAGAAATAATATTAAAAGTTCATCAGTTGGGTCTAAGATACATAGTTGTTATGCCCATAAACTAAGGAAAAAGTGGCCCAGCTTGAAATGAGAGCCGTTACCTTTCTCTTCCTTTTAATATGACATTTCTGCACAACTAGTTTTTCTGTTTTAGTTTGTTTTTAATTTTGAAAAGCATTTTCCACCCATGTCCCTAATGGAGCTTGAAATTAACATGGCCTTTTCAATTCCTTCTTTGTGCACCAGCATTAAACAGTTTGCATTTAGGAAACATCACAAGGCAGAAGCAGGACAATATTACAGGGGACCATTCTTTTTTAAGCCTTAAAGCACTATCTACATATTCTCAGGATTGACAGAAATGTGTCTGATTCATTGCTCCATCTTCTCTGCCTGGACTGGGCCTGGGTCTTAAATGGCCCACAGGTCACTAAAATGTCCATTAAATGCTCTTTGTAGTCAAAGATGTAGGAAGAGATACACAGAGATGCTTCACCTTCTCTGGGCTACAAACACTGCCTTAAACAGAATGGGGATGGTACAGAATTGCTCCTATCCAGATAGGTAAGTTCATAAAGAACACATGTATGACCATATCATAATTCTCTTACCCATACACATACATACAGTTTTCATCTTGCTTCCTAGGAAAAAAAAAGAAAAGAAACCTACAGTCCAAGAATCATGGGTTTTAGGCTTGACTCCATCTACTACCTGACTGGAAAGAATATCTAACTCACAGAATTAAAGTTAATGGAAATGAAATGGCTTTAATACATTAGAATACTCTATAATTATACTATTAAGTAAACAATGAAAGAAAGAGACAAGAAAACAGTTCTGGGAAAGGAAAAATGAAATGATTTATTACAACAACAAAAATGGGTTAAGTGTGGGTATATTAATGTTCACTTAGTTGTCGAGATAAGAGTTCAATTCCAATTTTTTATTTACTTACCATGACAGGAGGCCCAGATTAGGAGGATAAATCCCCGTCTCTTCTTCAGTGTCTGCCAAAGCTTTTCTTTCCTTTATGCCTGGATCTTTAAAAAGAGTTGGGGGAAAGGGACAAAATTGGCAATTTTCCCCTATGTGGTCATACCCTAATTAAAGAAACTGCATATACATAGACCCAAAGACCTGACCAGAGTCAGCCAAGAAAAAATTGAGTATTACCCAGCCAGTCTTCACTAGTCAAATGCAAACTCCATATGCTTTTGTGAAAATCCTTCTGGGCCCAACTTATTGGGGCTAATAAGTAGCAAGGGTCCATATTCCTAATGTTGCTAGTAATATGAAAAATGTTATGAACCATGGATGACAATAATACAGCAATAATTAAAACCAACATGCAAGCACAAAAACAATATTCTTGTAATACTATGGAACATTTTATCTGTACATTCAAAATGGATCATCCTATCTGTGAGAACCAAACTGGCTTTGCAGGCAAAATACCAAAAAATTGTGTTATTTCCCCAATATTCTAAACTTATCTGAAAAGTCACATAAATTGTGTTAATACCTTTACCAGGTTTTTAAGAACAACAAAAGGGGTTGGGAAGGAATACCCAACTACAAACTTAAAGACATGCTAGTAAGAGCACTATCATCTTTAAGAAGTTGCCTTAAAAAATATTCTCATGCAAAGCCAGCATTTCTGGTTTGCTAAACTTCCATGAATACAGGGTATTTTAGGGAGTCTGGGATTCAATATTCAAAGTAAACTCTTTCAGACCACTGTGAAGGAACAGAGGACAATAAAGAAGCAGTAGGGACCAGAACATGTGGAGCTTTGCATAGTTGTGAGCACAGTGGCATGGGCGACTTACTTTAAAGAATGGCTCTGACTACTGAGTGGGAATAGACTAGACTGTTGTGGGAGGAGGTGTCAGAAGCACAGGAAAGAACCTTTCATTTCTGCACCAAATAAAGACTAAAATGGTGTGCTACACTTCAGTCAGGCAGGCAGGCAGGCAGGCAGGCAGGCAGTCGGTTAATAATTACCAGAGAACCTAGTATGTGTCAGACAATACAACACTGTGCTAGTTTCTGTACTACAGAGTTTATATTCCAATACAGAAGATAGAAACAAAAAAATAATAGTTACAAATTCTGCTAAATGTGATGAAGGAAACAAATGACACAATGAGACAGAGATGGGGGGTGGGCAGGGTTATGGGAGTCCTACTCCGTATCAGTGGTTGGAAAAGGTCTCTTGGCAAGGCAAGGCAGTTTCCGGTACAGGGAACAAACAGCATGTGTTTCTGAGACAGGAAAGACTGGCATTTTTGAAGGATTAAAAGAAGGAAATCAGTGCAGCTCAAATGTACTGAGTCACAACAGTGGTCCAATTTAAAGCTGAAGAAATGTGTAACAGAAAGACCATATAAATAGTAAGGAGTATAAACTATCTTCCAAGTGTGATGGCGAGCCACTGACAGGTTTTAAACAGCAGAGTGACATGATTTGATTTTAAGATCATTCTGGCTACTGTGTACTTACTGGATTAAAGAACAAAAAGAATAAAGAGAGAATCAGGAAACAATTACAAAAGAAGAAAGGTGGCTTGATTTAGAATGCAGTACAAATGGAATAAAAGCTTAAGGACATGAAAGGTATTCTGGAATTAATATCCACACTGAGGAGAAAACTAACAAGTTTTTAGAACTGGTTTTCTAGTTAAACATCAGATTAGTACCACCAAGTTTAGTAATGAGGCCTTGGTTTTCATACAGATATATAACAACAATTTAAGAAAATTCAAAACAAGAATCAAGTTTCAATTTAAAAGAAGTCCACATTGTTAAGGACTATCTATTTTAAACAAAAGATTAGGGCTATAGCTCATTTAATCTCTACTTAAATATGAGTTTCCAGGCACAATACATTGTATTATGGTACAATTATATATGAAAAATGCAATCTTGCTTGAGTCCTAGTAAAAAAATATGCTTAAAGATTTAACATTAAAGTGAAAATATAAGAGCTCATCTAAATAATTGTGTACATGGACAAATGGATCCCCAAAATGTATCTAAATTCACTTTAGCTACCTCAAAACAGCACGGTGAGAGTAGTGGGGTGGGGGTGGGGGGAGACCAAACTTACCAAATGAAGTCCGTCCAAGGAACTTTTCTACTAGAAGGTTTCACAAGGAAATCTGCAAAAGAAAAACCAGTAGTTTTATATAATGAAGAATATCCTAAGAATCAAGTTAGACCACTTATATCTTCCTACAAGACTTTTCTCTACAAGTTAGAATGTTAGGATAATACATTATTTTTTTAATTGTTACAATGTTATTTAGTGAACTGCAGATTTTAGAATGCTTAATTGAACAAAATGGGTGAAATCAGACCTCAGCATGCCTTTAGAAACTGCAGAACTGCACAAGCAGAATTTTCCAGGAACCTACAGATACACCCTACTTAAAGGTTTTCCTCAATCAGTTAAGCATCATTCTGATGGTTTCTCACTAAACCTCTGTCACTACAGTACAAGCACTTCAATAAACTATGATTACAAGGGCCCTTGCCAGTATGGCTCAGTTGGTTGCAGTATTAATCCATAAACTGAGGTGTCCTGAATTCAAGTCCTGGTCAGGGCACGTAAGAGAAGCAACAGATCAATGTTTCTCTCACATCAGTAAGTATGTCCTTGGGTGAAGATTTAAAAACAAAAAATGAAAAAAAACTATGATTACAAGAGACTTAGGCTTAGACTTGATAGTTTAACACAGAATTGGCTTCTATGGAGGGATCTTTTATGTGTAAGTAAAGGACTGGTTGGGGGCAATGGAATGAGGGTGAGGGTCAGCACATTATTCCCTTAACCTCTGTAATTTATTTTTTTAACTTAGTGAGAACCATAAAAGGGAAACCTAACTATGCAATAGTAAAAGTGTCCTAACCATTTTACAAGCAGTATTTTTGGCTCCCAGTAATTCTTAATTCAAATTTTTTAACTCATGCCATATTAACCAGATACTGTACTAGAAGGGCAATAAAGGTATTCATAATCTGTAACTTCAGATATAAACCACATTAAGTATCAAGACTGCTCTTACTAAATTGTTTAAGAAGGAACAACACAGTACAGCAGAAAAGTTGGGGATTTGTAAATTTCTAGGGACTTTTCTTACGAGAGTATAATTTTTGTGAGTATTTGAATACTGAAATACATAATTTTTTTCCTTTTGTTTTTCCTTTGTATTATATTAAGGTTATTATCAAATTTCAAAAATTAAGTCTGTAGGCACATTAAATTATCCTAATTTTACTTTAGAAGAATAAACATTTGTTAAAAAGAACAGATGTTGGTTTATGACAGCATGGATGGACCTAGAGGGTATAATGCTAAGTGAAATAAGTCAGTCAGAGAAAGACAAATACCATATTATCTCACTCATAGGTGGGATCTAAAGAACAAAATAAATGAGCAAACAAAAGAGAGACAGACTGATATAGAGAAGAGATGATTGACAGAGAGGCAGGGGGTTGGGGGGCTGGGTGAAAAGGGTAAAGGGATTAAGAAGGACAAATTGGTAGTTACAGAATAACCACAAAAATCTAAACTACAGCATAGGGAATATAGCGAATAATATTGTTATAACTACGTGTGGGACGAGGTGGGTACTTCATCAGGGGAAATAGTCTGTAAAGTACATGACTGTCCAACCACTATGCTATACATTTGAAACGAATAATACTGAATAATATTAAATATAAACTGTCACTGAAAAAAAGGAACAGATGTTTGTTCTCTTTGTCCTTACACAAACATAAAATAGTTATGTGAAGGCACATTCCACTTAGAAAAGTATTACAGTAGTCTCCCTTATTTGAGGATATACATTCTAAGAACCCTAGTGCATTGCCTAAAACCATGGACAGTACTGAACCCTACATATAGTTTTTTCCAATATATACACACCTTTTCATTTAAAGGGAGCCCTCTATGGCTTCTCTTTGGCATATCCAAATTGCCTGCATTACTATTCTTGTGCTTTGGATCCATTATTAAGTAAAATAAGGGTTATGTGAATATAAGAACTGTGATACCTCAACAGTTGATTTGATAACCAAGATGGCTACTAAGTGACTAAGGGGCAGGTAGCATGTACAGTATAGATATGCTAGACAAAGGAATGGTCTGCAGCCCAGGCAGGACAGAGCAGGATGACTTGAGATTTCATCATGCTACTCAGATCAGTGTGCAATTTAAAACTTATGAATTGTTTATTTCTGGAATTTTCCATTTAATATTTTTAGACTGTGGTTGACCCCAGGTAATTCAGACCATGGATAACTGAAACCACGGAAAGCAAAACTGCAAGTAAAGGGAGACTACCGTACATTCAGAACATGATGAGACATAGCTCATTATAACCCAAGAAGTGCTGGAGTGCTGTGAGTTTAACCATCCAATGATATGCGTGAGCTCACAATTTGGAGGGAGGCTTCACAGGAAATGGAGACTGTCAAGTGGATATTACAAATTGGGTGGGTTTTAAGTAAAGTGAAAGAAGGGACAGAAGTAATTCAAGAGAGGATAGCTATTAATACCACAGTGGGAAGAAAGCACATTTCTGAGAAACAGAAAATAGGTCAGACTATCAAGAGAGCGTTCAGGAAGGGTAGAAAGACAGGACACAAGTATGGAGTCTGAATGCCAGGCTAAGGAGTCTAGATTTTGTTCAATGGTGGGAAACCGATATCTTCAGGAGCAGGAGACTAATACTACACAAATGGTGGTGTTAAACAGTAGAAAGCAGCAGGCAGAATGGTTTGTGGGAAAAGTCACTTAGGATGAACTAGTTAGTAGTTCAGATATAAACTGCAAAGGGCCCAAAAAAATATAGAGGAGGACACCAAAGTGAAACCATTAGTTGGTTGAATTTGGTAACTGATTAGGAATAGATCCCGCCATCCCCCAAAGCAGAGCAAGTTGTCAGATCTTAACTGCAAATTTTAAGGCCTGTGGCCAGTAGAATAAAGACAATCAAGGGTAGCTTCCAGGAAGCTGTGCCAGCTAAGACATGCTGACTTCAAAGGTGCCTCCCAGGTAGATGTATGCCAGAGGTAATAAGAGAGAAAATGGCATTAAATTCAATAGAGAAATCAAGTCTAGGGGCAAGAATAAACTGATGGTACTAGATTTAATTAAAGAAAATCACTGTATGTATTGTAAAAATCATCTGATGTTTTAGAAATTACTTGATAATTTATTCTGTCAAAGATATGAGAAGTCCATTAAAACAGAAGTGTCTGTGTAAAGTTTCCACAGGCTAAAAGTTCCAAGAGGTGAACCAAACAACAGGCTGATTCAACACAACAAAAATGTTCAGGTAGGTCTACTGCAATGATTCTTCTCTGTAACTGTCATGCCAGGCCATAATCAAAACACCTACTTGGTTGCAAACAGTATGTTAATTGTGAAACATTTCCAACAAAAATTTAAAGCTGCCCATGCCTGTTAGGACTATTTACTGCTACATAAAGGCCACAGATCTGAAACGAAATCCCTGGTGCCCCGAGTTACCTTCCCACGGTACCAGCGGGTATCCCATGATATGAATCATGTAACCCTCAGAAACTAAGAGCAATTATGTCTGAGTGACCTTGAATATTTACATTGAAGAAGTAGAATATAAAGTAGTTATGTTAAATCTAAGCAACCTAAAGTGTCTAATTACAAATGTCTTAAACACATTAAGCGTTAATGAACAGAAATAGCCAGGGGAAGGGGTTAATTATGGTCATCCTTAAGTTTCATCTCCAAGGGGGGGTAAAAAAAATATCTGAAGTTACCTGAAATAAGAGATAAAACTTTTACAGTCACATATTATACTACGGATAGGATTTTATCTATTATAAGAGAAAACCCTAAAGAATAAAAATAAATATAACTGAATATTAAATAGATAATATAGGATATCACTGTGAAGCTGCATTAGACAGGAAAACCTAACACAAAATCCCTTTATGGAAGATAATGAATGACTCAGAGGAAGGGCATGGAGGCCCTGAGAAAGCCAAGAAGGAATAGACATCTGCAAGAAACAGCTTATGTGACCACCTGTATGCCACCTAACATATCAGCTACAACAAGGGCAAAGAGGCACATGAATTTGGACCATTTCTATAATAAAAGAATCCAAACTACAAATTTGTGTATGTGGGGGAGGAGGGGCAGGGGAGGTGTGTTAAGCAGTGCTTTTTTTGACTAAGGTGCACTTTAACTTCAAAAGAACAATGGACTATTTTTTGCATAGTCTTGTTTCACTTTCAAATGCAGGGTAATTAAGCCTTCAAAACATTCAGAAGGCAACACTGAATAATTTTAAATAAATTTTTTTATTTTCAATGTTAAAGAAATGGCTTTTCTTACATATGTACTACATATTAAGAAACATTCATAGCAAACTTGAGGGTGGAAGCAATACAAAGTAATTCAGAGGTGTTAATTTTAAGTAGCAGCTTCACAACTGTCACTACCCTGGGCGAGGTTTTCAGCTTTAGAGTTTGTTTATTTATGCCTAATAACTTTTTGTGTATCTGATGAATGATATACTTTCCCAAACTCAGATTCTATGGTACGTTGGGTAAAATTATTCCATGGTGGGAAGATGATTTATTCACCAGCAGTAACCAAAACTCAAGCATTTATCAGCTGAATAAAACTACTGTGGCTTGGTCTTACCCCCTGAGCAGGAGCCCAAATCTCAGGTTTTCTAAAACATTTGCTGTTGATGTGAACTATAAATGAAAATAGAAACAATGCGAGTTGCAAAAGCACAGATGCATTTACCTATCCTAACTTCACTGTGGTGGAGATTCAATTACTTGACAAAATATTTTCAGGTGATTGGCATTATTCTAGGCACTGGGGATGCAGCAGTGAACAAAACAAAGTTCCTACTCTCATGGAGCTGCAACTCCAGTGTCAATGGAATATTTCACAGGCTGAATGCCCTCAGTGTGACTTTCTCCCCCTACTTATTAGAACCATGCTTCAAAAAAGATAAAAAGGAACAGTAAATGAAACTGAGGCAGTGTCCTGACTGTGAGATCCTCAAACAAGGGGGAAAAAAAAAGATCTGCATCTTTTTTCTACCTCTTTTATTTTTTTAATTACTTTTTTAAAAAGACTTTATTTATT